AACAAACCTGGCTTCAGAACTTTAAAACGTTCTCCGTAACGCACTATCCGTCAAAACTCGTATTTTTCTGAAGTATTTTGTCACTCGCTCGTTCGGACATGTCATTACACTCACAAAATGCTGCTTTAAATCCCAAATCCTTAACAGTGTGAGCTTAGCCTCTGGTACATTGTACGAAGCCAAAAGCCGGAAATCAACGTACCCCATTCTCTGTGCAATGACATTAGATATTTTATAATTCGAGAATCAGGAAAGCCTGAGAATGAAATTTCCGCAAACTAATTCACTAATTCACAACATAATTCAAAAGGTACAGCACAGTACAGTACTGTCGTGCAACACAGTAAATTACTTTTTTCCGACTCAGGATCGAAAGGCCTGGTACAGGTATACTCCGTGTGTGGAAGCATTTTAGTAACATCACTAACAGCGAACACCCATAGTGATAGCCCAAGCAGTCTTCATATTCCTGGTCTTGCGGGTTGCTGTTGTAACTCAGAAACCAAAGGAATTGTTAACTGGACGTTTTGAGTTTATCTCCGAAGATAGGCGTGAGCAAAAGGCATGGAAATCAAGTCGCAAATTTCACGGATCAAGATGGAGTTAGAAATGGAAGCCAACCTTCATTTTCAGTGCATAATTTGATAGGTTCAAAATTTCCGAAATATTCCACTGGTAGATTCCTTCGTTTCTGACGTTCCTCAGAATTTCAAACTGGTGTTTTCAGATTTATATTTACTTCAGTTTACTTTTAGTAAAATTCTGCGGGTTCATACGGTGAATGCTTGCAAAAAAATGTTCCAGGACATGTTACGGTGATTTTTTTTTTTTTTTGGTCGACCCGTCAGACTGAATGCAGCAGAATTTCAAATTTGTGCTTTTAAAATTTGGCTTATTAGGACTGACGTGCGGGTCAAAAAATAGGTCGAAATAGGCCTAAAAAATTCGGCCCATATTATGATTCAAACCAAATCCACAAGGGCGAATCTCGGGGTTCCATCGTTCCGACATTATTAATGGGCTGAAACATTCCAATTCAGTTATTCCTAATTTTAAATTTTTATTTCCGTCTTACTTCTTTCTCTGTATGTAGTTATACTATTTTTTATGTTTTTTACTACTAATTGATTTTATTGTTGTTTACGCATTATCACAAATTATCCTAATCATTAAATTAGGCCTAAATTACGAGCCAGGCATCTCAGAGTATTGACGTAACTGGGCCCAGCATCAATTTTAAGGCCTATGGCTCCAGAAAAACACCTCGTAATACAACTCCAGGATGCCAGCTTCTCAAGCTTCAGCCTTGCAATCGAAACATCCGAACAGCGACAAACAGATGCAACAACAAACATGTGCAAGTATTGCCCTCGCAACAAAAAGTTACGCGAAAAGCAGTAAAAGCGCAGTCACAAAAAGGGCGGCGAGAGAGCACGCGTTCGGTGGAGTGGCAGAGATAAAAACTGCTTCGAGTCAGTGTGCAAATTTGGGAGAAGCAGTGATTGAGGGCGGGCGACGTTTGTTTGGTACCTATGGCCTAGTCCGTTTAGATACGTGCGTGCGTGCGTGTCCGGTCGCAGTCGCTGTTGATCGATTGGACGTGAGTGGTCGGCTCGTACGCTAGGCTACCCTAACAAGCTCTGCGTGGACGTTCGCTTTCTGCTGACGTGTCACTGTTTGTTTCGATTTTTGCTTGCTACACGTGGATTGGTGTGAGGTTTTGCTTTATCCTGCAACTGGGAAGTGTGGTTGGGAATCCCCGGATGTCTTGAAGTGAGGGCTAGCGGGGCTTACCTGAGGGATTAGTGGGGGACGACGAAAGCAGAGGGGAAGGGGGGGGGGGGGGGGGGGGGGGGGGGGGGGGGGGGGG